TATTATTATTATTATTATTATTATTATTATTATTATTATTATTATTATTATTATTATTATTATTATTATTATTATTATTATTATTATTATTATTATTATTATTATTATTATTATTATTATTATTATTATTATTATTATTATTATTATTATTATTATTGTTATTATTATTATTATTATTATTGTTATCATTATTATTATCATTATTATTATTAATAATAAATAATAATAAATGTTAGAAAATGTGTCATTAGTTAACGGGACATTCTGCTGGATAATTGAATTATCACACATATTTAATAGAAATAGCTTGTATTGGTAATTCTTTGCCTTATTATATGTCATTCCGGTACTTTTTTTTCATTTCCAACATTTATCTCTCTCTTAAATGATTTAATGAGATATTTCGCTTTCTGTTTAGCATTTGTTCCGACCAAAATTAATATGATTGATAAGATTGGAGGTTGGCATCTTACAAGTTATTTGTAAGAATGACTGTTGGACCAGCTACTTGCCGTTTAGCTGATAGTTGAAATTTAGTATATTCGGATTTAATGTAAAATTTAGATTGGTTTTCAGCACTTAATTTCTTCGAATATCTCAAATTACATTTATTTGCACTTTTTTCTATTACCAATATGTTCAAAAATCTACTTCAAATTTTTTTGCCTAATTTTTTTCTTGTCTTTTAATCATTGAAGGTTCTGCTGTAATGAATATGATGATATTTTACAAGCAGAATTACCATAAGTAGTTGGTGTAGTTTTCCTTTATTGACGTTCCAAAATTTCTTTTTGCAATGAAAGAATAGTTTAATGCTCTTCCTCGAAAAATTTTATTGGGTGGGAAAGAAAGTTTTCCAGTAGGATTTTGTGATGGATGGTCGTTTCTTTGTTCTTTGTTCTTTAAAGCAAGTCTAATTTTTTGGGAAGTTTAGCCAGGAAACTCAAGAAGTTAAAATCATTCGTAAAACATCAGGTTTCTCCCAAAATGTTTAAATCTCAATTGTTGTTTACTAAGGAAGTAGTCGACTTAAAATATGAGGTATTTGATTTTTGGACCCTGGAAGGAAAAAGATCACAGTGAAAAGATAACTGAGCGATATCGGACGTCAGAATGAAAATTTAAGGGATGTTGGGCTGTGCTCCATTTCTTTATGTTGATTAAACAAGGATCAGTGTCTCTCGTTTCTCTAATGAGATTATCTGAGTGGAAAATTGGAAGCTCAAGTTTTTTCATTTCATACTAGTAAGATTTGTTTCACTTTATAATTTTGAAATTGGTTCAGGTTTCAGTCTAATGTAATACAATTTCATTGTTTCATGTATGTTAGTCCATTGCTGTACTTGATAGTATTTCAACTTTCCGGTTTGAGGTTTTTGTTTTAGAGTTTTTTTAGCATTTTTTCTTTGTGGAGACGATCACCTCTGTGTGAATGAAGAGGTTTTTAACCAATGTAACGACAATTTAATGAGTAGTCGATTGCTGTCATATGTTAGATTTTTCGGTGTGTTCCATGTATTTGTATGATTTTGGGGCATCCCTTCAGTTTCAATCTTTTAAAGTAATATAGCGGAAACTATTTTATTACTTTATCAGTTACTTTCTAAATGGCAAATTCGAATTCCATTATGGGAGATGAATAGAATGGGGAGGCAATTTGTGCAGACCACTTCCCGATTCGAAAAAGCTTTGTTCGTGTCGGAATTTTAATGCGTTAGCAGTAATATTGGTATTCTGCATCCCACTCTCTGAATAAAAGCTTCCCTTCTCACTATTGATAAAATATAATGCTACTGCCAATGTGCTATATATGCATTTCTTCCTAATTTAAAATTGGTAAGTACACGCTGTAGGAGCAAGCTTAAAAATACAAGATCTCGTACTTTCGCATAGCAGCTGTCAAATTCTTCCTGTCATATTGAAAAAGGTCGAGATTTTTACAATTTTTCATATTTACTCGTATTTCTTCAAATTTCAGCCGAGCTATCAAATGAAACGACACTGAGTATTATTGGAATGGTTAATGGTTTATATTTCAAAAGATAGCTTCCAAAAGAAAACGAACAAATAATTGTCTTCAATTACTTTAACCATCATTTCTTGTTTATTGAATTTTTTAGTCTTTAAAATAGACATGGACTATTTGTGCAAGTTATTGATTGTTGCAAGGGAAACTTCACTGTTCCTTATGCTTTAAATCCAATTAGGTTTCTTGGTAATTAGGAATATAGCATTTGCATTAAATTAAATAGAAGTAATGCCTGGAATAGCTGAATCTGATAGGATAAGATATGCAATTTTGAATTTGTCAAAAAAACCAGAATCGAACGGAACTGAATTACATATACATCAAAATTGTGAACTGATGCTGTTTAGAATTATCTTTACTGAGATTCATATGACCAACTGGGAATATATCAGCTATTCAGAATCAGTTAATCATCACTTGGTAAGGAATTGGTAATGCAAATGATTATTTTTAAATATGTAATGAATTTTTTTGGATTCATGCACAAAAAATTTGTGTTTTGGGTAGTGCATACGCATAGCTGAATCAAACAATGTCGGCAGTTTGGTGTGCAAAAAATTGTTCTTTTGCTCTCTGTTAAAATAAAAAAAATGTGAGAAATTTATTTCCAAAATTGCTGATTGTTATGCTTTGGAAACATATGAAAAAAAAAGGAAAAAAAGCAATAAAATATTAACGATACGACAGCTGTTGCAGGAGAATTTTTTTCTCCTTTTGAAGAATGAGACCATCTGGTAGTTTAATTACTGTGGAAAAGATTTCGATGTAATTACATAAGTGAAGGCTGAAAGATGAATAAGAGACAAAGAGGTGAAGGTTTTGGAGAGGTGGATGAGGAAAAAGAAGAAATGAGATAGGGTAGCTGAACAATTCCAGTTCACTGACCAAATAGCCTCCTCCGTTTATCTCTATCACCATCGGAAAACTCAAGGTAACATTCATTTTTATTGTTGCTTAAGATGATGCTGGCCTTGGATTGAGAAGTAAAAGAAATTGATAAGGGGAAAGAGACAGAGAGGGAAAGGGAGATAATGGATTAGGGATTTTGGATTTCAAATCATTATTCTAATTTAATCATATCGTTCACATACGGCGTCTCAGTTTTGTTGATGGATATGTAACTGTTATCTAAATCTTTTGCTTGTGAACTGCACTGAATGGCAGGAAGTGGAGAAATAAAAAGAGACCGCTATACATGCTGCAACAGTTTGATTAATAGTGATAGCTTGTATTATTGTCAGACGAAAATATGAGATTAAAATTAAAATTTTGCATTTGTATTTTATCAGAGATTGAATTTTACTTTTTTTTACTGAGATGATCTGATGTGTTCTTCATTTTGTATGGTGATATGAGAGCAACTTCAATGGGGTTTAAGATGATATGCAGCCGATCAGTCATCTGACAATGAGTGATTTGAATCTGTTGATGTTTAATCACAGCGCCTGCCATCTATTTTTTTTTTTTTTCACCTGATTGGTTTTTCTAGAATATATGCTTCGTTTTGCTTTGTTGTTATTCTGTCACTGCTAGCATTTCAAATTTGAAGTATCATATAAATAAGTAATAGCTCTTTGTTACGACTATGCATGAAACCGATTCGAAGTAACGAAGTATGGCAAGGGGAAGGACAGTTTTTGACTTTTTTTCAGAAAAAATATTTCGTTTTCTTCAGCTTATTTTGTGTTTTCTAGCGGTTTTCAATTTATTTCATTTTCAAAAGGGACCATAAATCATAAATTTCGATACAGAATAATAAAGGGAAGTAGAAGAACTATTTCTGTAATGAAAAACCTTCTTGGTCTTACTTTTCTCGTCTACATTCTACTTTTCCTATTTATTATTGTGTAACTAATAATATTTTGCGCTTGGAAATTTAAATTTGACTATCGGGACTGGTTCTTTTCTTTTTTTGTTGATTTCTGTCATTTAAATAAATTAAGATTTGCTATATTTTGTTTCTGAAGGTTTTATATCATTTATACCCCTCTAAACAGTGAAATATTCGAAATGTTTATTGTAAAATTTCCATGCTACGATCTTCACTTGATGTTGGCATTCTCTATCTTGTCAAACTGACACATGATAAGCACATTGGAAACACATGACGACATACCTTTGCTATCCTTTCACTTTTTTTTATCACTTCATTAAAGCCATAGAGGATGTCTTGCCAGTGATAAAGATGAACACGAACATGAAACTGCGCAAAAATGTTTGTTTCTGGCATGTTTTAGGGAAGGAGTAAGGGTAATAGCGAGGAGAGTCTAAGGAATTTTCCAAGAAACTGTGATTGTTTTCTGTTTGCATGCAAATTCTGTATTCGTATCATGACATTTTCCATGATGTTACAGACAGAATTCAGTTATCAGAAAAACAGTTTCATGTTACATGTTAAATTTTATGTCAAATCCACATCTACTCTAATAAGAAGGATCTTCTTTTGCTGTCTTTTGAATGGTTCCTTTTAATGTTTAATGTTAAAAAATAATCGTATATGAAAAACATTGAAGCAATACATTATTCAAACTTCGACAAATAAATAGCACTTAAATTCATGCAAAAGTATGCATGTTATTTGTAAAAAATAAGTAATCATGAAACTAAGTATGAACAGTTGAAGCGGAGGAAGCATGAAAGATAGGTTTTCGAGTTTGCTGTAGACCGAAATCATTTCACAAATTACATCAAGAATAAAGATGGTTCGGACGGATAGCATATCTCAGGGTGATGGGAATGATCTGTCTGGTTTATATTTTTTCTTATTTTCTTTTATTTAAACAGGAAAAAATATCACGAACTAATGGTTGCATTTTAGATTGTCGCATAATTTGCAATAGCTCGACATTTATGTGCTACGATAATGACTATTCGAAAATTCACCATTGATTTATTATTTTTCAAACGTACTTATACGTTGCTTAAAATAGTCTTTCCATTTTCACGATGTCGGATAGTGCCGAGTTCTTTTCTGATTGCCGTATGTGTCATCATTGTTTCTATTGCAGGTAATTACTTACTGTTAAACATATAACTTTCGAAATTGTCCCAAATTAAAGGAGGAATTGGTTGAGGGAAAAAACACAAAAGCCAGATGTTATTTCAAGGGGTACAGGTATCATGAAGTGAAAGTGGTACTGATAATCTTTGGTCGACGAAAATCCACCAAAGGAATATGAATGATCAATTTCAGTTTAGCGGTGGGAGAAAAACAAAGAAGAAAAAAGGGAAAAATGATTTTTTATTAAGAATATTTGAAATTGGGGTAGTTTAGAGAATAAATTTTTGTTTTTGATCTGAAGTTATTAACATTTAAACGATATTCTTCTTAAGACATTGAGTATTTCATATCTTTTTATCGTTTCAGATCAGGTGGCAACCTATTTTGTGGGCGTGTTACCGAGTGAATTTTATGTCGCACTTGGTAATCGCGACATTACAACCTTCCGATTACTTGCTGCTAAAGCAACCTTAATTATTTTGTCGAAAGCTTCGGTAAACATTTTTACAGCATTGTTCAAGTTTTTAAAGTTATCACTGTTGTTTCAGTAGTTTTCAGTTTTTAATGTACGACACAGAAGAATTTAATTTTTTTTTTTGTTTACTGAAATAACGGTTGAGGTCATCATGCTTCAAACAGTACTTGATTTTTATATGTCAACAGAAGTTAAATTTATGATGTCACGACGATAATGAATGATGTTACAGTACTAAAATTAGCAAGAAAAATATTTAATAGATATTTGGGGGTGAAAAATGTTCTATGAAAAACGCCGGATAGATGGACGAATGAAATGATTCAATTTTCGCATTCACAATTTCTTTATTTACTTTTATTTACATTTGTGATTGAATATGTCACACGTTCGTCTTCATTCTAACTTGAAGGAGCGCATATCTATATACTAACCCTCTGTTTGAAATTTGATTAGAAATTAGACGTTTATAAATTATGTAACATACAATGAAGATATTTGGTTAATTAGTTATTTCATTTTTCGACATTCGTTCACTGACAACTACTTGACATTACAGCGATCAGAATGATCCAATAGTCAGTGCTATAATTTTCTTTTGGGAGACTGATGACTAACTCGTTGATGTCGCTGGCCAACTTTCGTTATGTCATGCACTGTCCTATCGTGATTTATTTTTTTTTTTTTTGTTTTGTTTTAAAGTTAAGACACATTGAAATTTTCCATGTATTCAGAAAATACAAAATGTAATCTTTCAGACATTATCAGCGATAAAATATATGGCGGCACAGTTATTTTTAAAATTTCGCGAAACTACCGGATTTACACTGCATAGATTATATTTTAAGAGACAAGGCTATTATCGCTTAAATGTGCTCGAGGATAATTTTGATAATCCGTTTGTTTCTTTTTTTTTCACCTTATATTTTCCATTTTTCTTTTTTTTCCACCTTATATTTTCCATTTAATGTCTGATGAATAATCGGATTTTAACTGATGGTTTCAAAGCTATAGTTTCCTTTTTTCTTTCTTGTGATTCTATGAATGATATTACATATTACATCAGAATTTATTTGCTATGAGCCTGTAATCTTGATGGTAGTATTGATACTTCCAATTGATTTATTTTGCAGTGATCAGCGTATGACACAAGATGTTGAAAAGGCAACAAAATTATTGGCACAGGAATTGTTTGCACCCGTTTTTATGGCTCCATTTGTTATCGGATATTATACTTTCTTAACATATGAAAGGTCAATTCTTAATTATTTTATGAATAATAAATCTTCGAAGATGAATGCGATAAGAAAATATGAAGTACATATTTGTGATGAATATTGAGGAAAACAAAACAACAGTGTTATATAATACTTTGCTGACGTTACAAGGTATGGTGAGACTAACGTTATAAGATGCCTTGCTATTGTTAGTTTGGTTTCCTGAAAATCAGAGAAGATTATCAAAAGTGTTATGCTTTAAAATTATTGGCAGTAATATGCATATTGCTGCTATATATTTTTTGCTTCGTCACTTATGGTAGTAGAATAAGGTCATGTTCTGCGACTTCTATCAAATATTATTGTAGAGCGCTTATTAATTGTTTTAGTTCGGGATATCTTGGACCACTGACAATTTATGCCTATTTCACGTTAGCTACTGTTATCAACCGACTTTTGCTCTCTCCAATTGTACTGTTGGTTAATGAGCAGGAGAAGAAGGAAGGTGATTTCAGGTGGGTTTTTTGCAGATCTTGATCAAAATTCTGAGCAGTCTTTAAAGGATTAAAGGACAGAACAGGACATGATGTAGAATTTACGCAATTTATACCATCTCTTTTCGTTATTGATTGTTAATGAAATATGAAGTTTGGAAGGTGGAAGTCATTTCAGACTTTGATATACATAGATGGTAGAAAGGAGATTACTTCATATGACAGTTATCTTAAAAATTTAGGACCCTGAAAATTGATTTACATGATATACGTCTCCATAGTCACGAGGAAAAAACGTGCAAATAGCAGTTATAACTCCAGAAAATTCTTTGCATTGCGGACTCTTTTTTGTTTGACATTAAATTCTCCATCAAATTGAGATAAAATCAGGATATCATATTTTTGCCATAGGTAACTTTGAATATTAAACCATATCATTATAATTTTGCATATTCTCATTTTCCAGAGATAATAGAGAAGCTTATCTGTGATGGAAACTTAAATTGCTCTTTTTAAATGAAAAAGATGATCATGTGGATCGAAAAGAAAAAAGCTTTAAGGAGAAATTTCAAACTGTTAGATTGTCCTCATTAGTTGTTCTTTTTTAAAGGCTGCGTCATGTTGAAGTCCGTACTAATGCTGAAGCGATAGCGTTTTATCAATCCGGACTAATTGAAAATGTTATGACAAACAAAAGATTGAAATCACTGATTAAAGTGCAAAACAAGCTGGTTGAATGGCGTTTCGCATTGAGTTGTAAGTATAAATTATCATTGCTGGCAATATTTTTCGATTTATGAATTCCGGCAACTTGACGCATAACTGTCTTGCATTATTCATAATGGAGTTTTTCGATATTGTGGTGGGAAATTAGTTATTTCCCAGAATGAACTTCACTTCACACCTTTCCGTGGACTTATTCGGAATCCAAATTTTTAATGCTCATCAGGCTTCATAATTTCCATTACTTCGTTAATGAAATATGTCTTCAACGACTAATTAGTTATGGTTTCAGTAGCAACAAGCGCTTTCGATTACTTTGGTGGAACGTTAAGTTATTTGATTATATCCATTCCGATATTTCTAACGCATAATTATGATGATTTATCCGGGATAGAGCTTTCTGGCATCATCAGTCGGGTAAGTGATCGACATAAATTCATGCTTTTTCCTACTTCTCTTGTTTTTTAATTCTATTTCTCTGTTGTCCATACCACTGCTACTCATTGAATTTATATCTTGAAATTTTCAAAATTCTCAGTATTTCTTAAATCTAAATTTAAATTTAGGAAATCACAAAATGAAGTTCCAAACAAGACATTAATTGGATAAACCATAAAATTATTAGGATAAGATGACGACATGCAACTTTATGCGACCAATCGAAAGATTTGACGAGGGTTGTGAATAACGATTGAATAGTCCTAGTTTGCGTAATCTTTTTTGCTGTTAAATATTGTTGAGGAATATCATTATAGAACGCGTTTTATTACTTGTATCTCATCTATAGCTTCACTCGTTTAAACGCACTTTCGGAAGTGGTTGGCGATATGGCCGGTGTGACCCATCGGTAGGTTACCGAATGTTTGTTTTGTTTTTTTTTTAATGTCACCTGCGATAATATGTATTGTTACTTAGTTATCTAATTAGGCAAAAATATTTGCAGGATAATTGGACTGTATGAAGAGTTGGTAAGATTACATATTGACAGGCTTGAGACGGATCGCCCACCATCCACAGTTCCATCCTCGGTGGTAGTTATCGCTTCGGAAGATCCAGAGAAACCGAATATAATCCCGGAGAGGAAGGTAAGTTTCTTGAATTTATTTTAAAATTAGGTTACCAATACAAATTTAGAATTTAAATTGTTCGGAGTAGGATTTTCAGTAAGTGTCGTTTGAAATATTAAATAATTATGAGGTAATTGTTATAGATTGAAGAACTGTATGGTAAACAGGGGCACTTATTTGAACTTGAGCCAGACGATGAAGAAGTTGAATTTCTCTTACAACGGTGAAGCTTTTTTTTTATATGGAACATAGTATTTTTTTTTTATCTGGTTTATTGCACGTATCTCAAATTATGGAATCGAGTGCTTGAAGAGTTGCATTAGGCTGATTCGAATATATTCTTCTTAATCCTAGTTTTACCATACTGAAATGTCATTTCAGAGCAGATGAAAATCGTGACAGAGAAGATCCGGAATGGCTTGACGATGGCATTGCGATGACCCTCGATTCAGTTACTGTTGCATTTCCGAATGACTCATCGGCACCCCTCGTCTCGAGTAAATTGACTACTTTTTCATTTTTGTTAATGCTAATTTAGTGGTAATAATGGTGATGATAAAAGGACGTCTGGTTATATTTAATAAGACTGACAGATCTTGAAATGGATGCTGCTGTATAAAAATAGAAATTGGATTAATTTGGGCACGCGAAAGGCATATCTGGTTGTTTTGAATCACTCATAAGGTAAGTTTTTTATTTAGGGAATCCTTTTATCTTTGAGATAGTCATAATTATTTTTAGATTTGTCGTTGCAAATTGTCGAGGGTAGAAACTTACTAATAACTGGCGACGGTAGTGTTGGAAAAACTTCATTACTGAGAGTATTTGCTGGACTTTGGAAATGTGTCACTGGTTAGTTTTGTTCTTTTACCTACTGCTGAGTAATTGAAGGAGCGATTTTTTACCTACGAATTCTGTCGATTTTTTTTCCCATAAAAAAAGAAAGGCATGGTTGTTGTTGGGCTATATATTTTGCTTTCCATTTTATCAGTAGTCTGGCTGCTGCACAGAAGAATAAATTGCTGAAATAGATTCTGGAATGCCCAGTTTCAGGAAAGCTAGAAAGACACTGGAAAATGAGTCCGACGACGTTATATTTTGTGCCACAGAAAACGTACTTCCCTGGTGGCTGTAGTTTACGTCAGCAGTTGGTTTATCCATTGAAGGCTTTATCTCTTGAAAAGGGTGCGTTATTGCTATTAGTTAGTTCTCGGAATTAGAAGATTTTGCGAGATAACTTTTGAAGATCATTAAGGTCGATCTCTGGTAATGATTGATGTGCTGAATGGCGCGATTCGTTCAAAGTTTAATTATGATGTAAAAAATATTTGTCTTCTATTCCAAAGACATTTTTAGAAGCAGCTCGTTTAGCTCAAATCCTGGAATGGGTCAAATTGGAGCATTTGTTACAGCGATGTAATGGTTTAGATACACCAGTAGAATGGGACTGGTAAGTGATTTTCCGTGCTGTCTTTGTGATTGAAGTTGTTCTAATAGATTTGTTATTACCCATTTTGTATTTCATGATTCATTAATGTTTCTTTTGCCTAAGAAACCGCTAGGTTTGCTTTCTTTTTACCCCTATAAATTCTCTGTTTTAGTTATAAATGCTTAATAAAGTTATAACTTACTTCCATTTTCAGATCATGCAATTTTTGAAATTGCGAATCATTTTGGTTTTGAATTCAGGTCTGAAACATTGTCACCGGGTGAACTGCAAAGGCTTTCAATTGGTCGAGTACTCTACCATCGACCACGAATAGCATTTCTGGACGAAGCAACAAGTGCTATTGGTTTTGAGATGGAAATGTCACTGTATCGCTTGATGAAAAAGGTCTTTTATCTTTCATAAATTTAAATTTTGCAGTGACATTTTTACTCTACCTCCAGAATTTTCTTTTTCACTACCCAGTAATAATTTATTGTAGCTTATTGGAAAATTCACAAGGTACTGTCTGGAATTCACATTATTTGACACATTTTTTAATGTTTTGTCAGAAGTGCACTTGTCTTTGATCTCTGCAAATATGTTTTCCAGGAGCGCATCTCATATGTCTCAATAGGACATCGATTTTCTCTAAAGCAGTACCACGATGTAGAGTTACATCTCAGTGGTCATGGTGAATGGACGCTGAATGACTTCGACTCAACGAATATTAGCAGCGGTCGTACTACAAGTTTTATCAATCTTTCTGCGAAGAATATTTAAAAATGTTCTCCATTCTTCTATCATTCGTTTTATGCAGTTCCGTCGTTTCGTAACAAAGCATCCGTTTTGCTATCGAAATTTCATTTATTTCGATGGTGTTCCTATCAGAACGATGTATTTCATTTTTATTACCGGTTGTATCAGTCCTTTAATTCGTTAGTCATCACATTTGTGTTCGAAATCTAGCTTTTATTAATTTCCTTGGTCTAAGAGCGACAGGATCTTGATGAATTGAGGAGGAATAAAGTGTGCACTTAGACCCTTAAGGACAGTGGAAAGTTGATAAGGTGGCGATACAGCAGTTTTTAATTTTAATGATTTTTTTAATGCATTCATTATATACCAATTTCAGTGATCATTTTGGCTGATTTGTGTGGATAATTCCTGTTTTGTGGTGCTTCATGATGAAATCTTCCACTTTTACTAATTTCATTTTTTGCAGATCTTCTAGTTTTTTTTTTTTTTTTTCTTTTTTCTTTTT